CAGTTAAGTTATAAAAATCGCGCGAATATTCTAACGTGGAGGGAAAGATCCGTGCGGAGAATTCTATCGTTCTACGTCTTCTTGTTTGTTTTCTTCGTATTTTTCGTGGTTTTCGTGGTTTTCGCGGCCTTCACAGGCGAGCTCTTCCTTTTCGATTTTCCAGCCATGTTCGCGTATTTGTCGATCAGAGAATCGAAGAACTTGGCAGACTGACTCGCTCTGGCCTCGTTGCGGCGTTGAATTGCCAACGCCAAATTGTTTGCAGCTGCGTTTTCTTCGTTTTCGATTTTCTGCATTTTCTCTAGACGCTCAGCTTCCTCTGCTTCTTTCGCCCACTGAAAATTGAAATGAGCGTCATTCGTTACTTCTAACTACTTACAATGATTTTCGTCCAATTTATTTACATAATTTAATTATTAAAATGTATATTGACAGATTTGACTCGTTAATTACATGTATATTGATTTACATTTCTTCTTTCTAAATGTCTTTCTTATAATTACCGATAAAGTAAAATTTAAATTGACGCGCCAAATTCAGAGAAATAAAAAAATGTTACTTACAAAAAGTGATTAGTCCGTGAGTCACGCTGTTACGTAGATATTTCGTTAATTTTGCATATTCTTTCTCACATTTATTCTAATTTCTGCTTTACGAAATTGAAAGTGAAATATAGAAACTTTCTTCTTTTTGAAATTTCACTATATAGTATTGTATTAAGATTAAATGTATGCATCATATGTATCATGATTGTGCAGGCAAAACTTGAATGTATAAATATTTAAGAAAAACACTAATAACATATGCATCTAGTTTATAACTAATTAATATTAAGTATGCATTTCTTTTTTTTTGACAGGTTCAATTGATACAATAGATTAAATAATATGGATATAAATAATTTTTAATTAACCCTAATTTATTTTTAAAAAATTCACATACTTGCAAATGACTGTATTGCCATATAAACGACCAACAATCCCAAAAGTTAATTCATCAATCGATTAAATAGCTGGACTGCGAATTTTTATGCAAAATCATATTTTCGAAAATACAATAAAAAAAAAAAGAATATAAAATTGTCTTACTTGCTTTACAGAAAGTATCGCAGTCCGCATATTTTATATATTTTCACATGATAAATAATTCCATCAAAAATCCACAGTTTAATAATAACCATCTCAATTTTCAATTCTAATTCCTGGCTCTGACTAACATTCTACCTCGACATTCGCCAATCTAATTCTTGACTCTGACTACTCGAGCATCATTCCGAGTGATTCCGTCAAGATATCGCGAGATTGTTGATGTCGAGCGGCATCGAAATGTACGAAAAAAATGTCGGTCGCGCCCCGTTGGAAAGTTTTTCGCGTAGAAAATAGAAACGAACGGCGTTTCGTCAGTGGCCGAATTAAGGTACCAGCGTCTTTGTTATCTTCCACTTTTGATGACCGCCTCGTTAAAATTAAACTAGCGCTAGCTGACGTGCAGAAATCAAGTCGAAAGGCAACCGATTCTGATAAATCTCGAGGATAGGCGTATGGCTAGGCAACGAAAATAGAGTTACGCGTGTCGTCAAGTGCTCTTAATTAATTTACTTAATAAGCACGCTGGGCCTGCACAATCTCTGATTTATCGATCAACTTGGCTCGTCAATCGTGCTTTTCAATTGGCCTATTAAATCTTATCGTTTTGAAATCAATCGTCGAAGCGGGGGAGATTTTGCAATATCGAATTGGAGGAAATGAACACGATATATGAAAAAAAAATATATGAACATCCGAAGTACAGTGCTTTCTATAATATTTAGTACATGAAATAATTTTCTACAAGATTCATATTTTCCTTCGAAAATATGAATTTGCAGAAACATCCACAGTCTGCTCATGACGTTATTAACATTAATGTAATAATGTAATAATACGAGTGATATATGACACACTTAACTTTTAGACGAATGAAGTACAATCTTTTAAAATGAAACAAGTATACAATTTCATCAAAGAGGTTTCAACCAAGTTAACAGCTCAATGATATGGAAAGAGAAGCCGATTTATTAAAAAATCTACGATGAAATATCTCCTTGATGTTCAATAGTACAGCATACTCTACATTTAGTACGTATAGAACGATCTACGAGTATTTTAAAGTCTGAAGCCTCTACTTTTGCTACCTTGCATCTTCGAAATTTTACAAATTAAAAGGATTCTATGGAAGTTTAAAAAGCTCTCCTTTTTTATATTGATACGCGACTTTATTAAATTTCAATGAATTGTATAATTAATTATTCTAATTAGAATTACCTAAAGCACATCACGTGGGATATACATGTATTGGAGTATTGATGAAATTTCGAAACGTATTTGAAAGGCCACCACACAATTTCGAGTATCATAAGCTTGTCCAAGCTTTCACAATCTGTGCTGGTTAGGTGTGATTGATTAATCTGTACTCGTCGGTTCTATGTTCGTACTAGAACTAACCTAACGTAACGTGTGATTCGTTGTTTACCTAGAAAAGACAGAACGTCATAAATAGAGAAGTTCTTAGAAGTTTTTGAAGCCCGGTACCGTGCATCTTTCATCAGGAGCAGACGCGACTGTTCATGGTTCACGCTCGTCGATGATGTCCCATATTCCCAGTGACCTACTCCATAATCCGGCGCTGAGGAAATTCCGTTATTTATAATTTCTGGCAAGTAGATTTGAGGGGCGGCCTAATGTTAGGCGATTACACAACCGAGTTTCGCGAAATTCTCACTGCACCCGGGTTATCGTAATGACATTCGACTTGAAACCCGACGAGGCAAAGCCAATAATCCATTGTTTGACAAGTGGCCTGTTCAACTGCGCAAGGGCAGTGACAATTGACAAATTGATTTAACCCTCCTGTTCGTCGCGAATACAGAACATTGCCACAACGGAATAAAATGGACACGTGCTGATATATCAAATTATCTGACTCGTACAAAATGTTGGTATTGCTTGGCTTTAAAAATTATTGGCTACAAGAAAGGTAAAATTTGTTGGCATCTGGTCTGTCAATTAATCAAAGAGGGATTTGATATCATTAAAAATTTAATAGATTCTATATTTAATGGAAAGTAAAGTAAAGTAAAAAATTCAAGCATTAGGAATGTATAGAAAGTATTTTTTGTACTTCTCAACCTTTTTTTTTTTTTTTTTAATGAGAAACGATAATGAATGTCCATTTTACTGAT